ATAATATGTTTTACAATCAGTTTGTTTTGTTTGCTTGGCTGGGGTCTGTGGGTAACTTTTCGCTGGATTATTTGTGGTCACTAATAGCACATATCCCAATGATTTCCATAATAAAATTGTTTTCTGAATATAGAGCGCTGTTGAAGCGAAAAAAAAAAACGTTTCGCGCTTAGAATAGTCAGCACGGCACTTGAACTTCATAGGGGGTTTATTCGGCAGTGTGAAACAAAAGAAAAATTGTACCCATAGGACGATAAAACAAAGTCTTTACCACAATTCTAGTTCGAAAAGCCTAGAAATTTTTGTTTTTTGGAGAAAAATTTCCTGAACACATATACGAAGTCGCGCATTTTCAAATATCGTTGCATGCAGCGAATCATACCACTGCTTCGAAAGGAGACGTCATTCGAAAGGAAAGCGATTTTCGTCATTTATCCAGGAATTTTGCATCCGTTCCAAATAAATTTCCACGATTTCTTTGATGAGTTGGAGAAGAGACTCTGTTCTATCGTTCCATAGGTACAAACTTTTTTCGCTTTGCATTACCAGTTAAGCCCGTTCTGATGTTCACGGGAAAAGCTAGCTGTTGCGAGTGCGAAACGTGATTGCCTTTTTGTTCTCACAGAATTATATGTAAAATTTTCATTTTATTCAAAATCTTCGGGATAAAGGCTATCGAGTGACCACCAATAATCCGACGAAAAGTCTACAGAAACCAGCAGATCAAATCTAGCTGAGTGTGCATTTTGCTAATATTTTCGTTGCGACCATGCTATAAGACAATCTTTTTTTAAACTGAACAAATTGTTGAAATTGCCAAGATTTAAACTTTTGAATGATTGTTGGAAGTTCAAAAATTTTTCAAGCGAGAAAGGCTCACAGAAAATCCTGTATTCATACATACATGCATTCCGTCCCGAACGGATCAAACAAATTCAGCAGCAAAAATGTCCTCTTTTTATCGAGAGTAAACTTTTCTTAGTTCACTTGATTACTTCATAGTTGGCCTCCACATCTTATCGTATAACAGGGAGAGTTCCATATGGATGTGGGAATCAACGCGACTAGGTACTTTCGACATTTCAGAACGGCACTTTCGTCATTTTTTTTTCAAAATGCCTTCATATTTTTTTACTCAGCACGGATAGATTTATAAATATTGAAAGATTCTATATGATAAAAAGAAGTTTGAAGGTGAGGTATTCCAAAATTCCATAGATAAAAGCGGTTTGAATTTTTTGAAGAAAAAGACGGACAAGCATACGCGCTTTTCGGTAATGAAATACTTTTCGTTTTTTTTTAAATTTTTTTTTCAAAAATAAGGATAAATAAGAATTACCATAAGTTATTCAATCAAAAAATACTAAAAATAACCAAAAATACTATTGAGTCTAGTTTCGAGCAAAGACTGCTCTTATCTATGAGCCGCTCCTATCTATGAAGTTATAGAAAGCACTGAACGTTTACTGTTTCACCACATAATCATAAGAAAATCTGAAAGGTCTTTTTCCCTACTGTGTCCTCAATGCTATGATTTCGTCCACTTTTTGAATGTTTAAAGTCGTATGCAAGTTCTTGAGTCACGTGCAAAGTTAGCGTTAAAATTTTATTCGCCGACTAAAAATTTTTGTAACAGTGAAATTCATGGAGAAAAAACCCGAGCACCAACGATAAAATCATTTTTAATAACACAAAAAGTGCTAATGAATCTTTGATTCATTGCTGCGACCAATCGAATTCAGTGTCATTGCATAAGATCCACGTTACTTGTAAGATGGCTGTGGGTTGAGTTTTGGTAAATTGCTGCAAAGAAATAATATAACAGTTACAGGAAATGTGAAATGTGCTGGTATTTTCTCATGTTCTGTACTTAGTGCGCCAGGCTAAGGAGGATTTCAAGTGATATATTGGTGCTTTCTTTTCGTGTTCCACTGTTAAGGAGTTTATGCACTCCAATGATGTCGTAGGCGTTTTACCTTAGTGTTTAAACCTGACCCTGGTCCACAACAGCATCGATTTGTTTGGATCGGTCAATTATTACTATTATAAATGGTACGTTCACTAAATTTGTGACCGATTGTTGGCCTCAGTGCTGCGATAGGAATGTCCGTGAGACGTTTGCTGAGGGGATTGATCAGTTTCATGAACTTTATCATTCTAATGTCGTGTTTTGCTATATCAAATAATAGTACCTCCATGCTGACTCGCTTCTTTGGCCCTTTATTATCTGTCTTCACAGTGTTTTTTTTTTTCACTATACGCATCCCAGTGCTTCAAGCTTTCAATCGTTTCTCGTCTTCTTTTTGAACGTCGTAGAATATTGGTTAAGCGTGTCTCCTTGTAATTTCAAGGATAACATGCCTGTGGCATTGCATAGGGTGTTCGTTGTTAACTATCGAAAAGTATTGCGGGTGGGATTCGGTCCCACGCGCGCCGCCTCGAGCATCACAAGCACTCGGCCACGACGCCCTCTTTCATATAAACTAGAATACAGAAGAAAAAAAATAATGAGAGATGTCTCACCTAAAGAATGCACCTGCGCTGTACAGAACCAAATCGCTTGGATCAAGATCAGCAAGTGCTTTATCAGTTTCCAAGTCCCCTGAAACACTATGACGAGATAGTGAATTTAATCGAAGCATAATTACACACATTATATTAGCTTCTGTATTCTGCCGACACTTGCCATGCTGCTCTGAGGTGCCCCTGTGGTTCCATTGGAAGTATCCTCCCGAGGCTCACAAAATTGCACATTCTAAAAAGCCAACATAGTTCTGACGGCATGACTCCTATATGCCCCCGTCATGTCTAGAAATAATTTTATCACCCAATTTAGTACAATTCTATGCCTTTTTATAGTGGAAATTATTAATGGAACTATTACAGCCCTTCAAATTCTTGATTCTTCTCCAACGTGTAGAACCGTTCACATCCTATAGATTATTTTTTTCAGCTTTTTTCTTCTGAGATCGCACGACGAAACGGTATAGTTGGCTTAATTTCATGGTGCAACACTTCTAGCTTTCTTTCGACATATCACATAGCTATTAGCCTTTTTATAATAATTTTAATTATTATCAGATTTGAAATCTAATAACGTCTCAGAGAAACTCTTCTAGCACTATGGCGAGAGAGCAGAATAATTTCTACAAGTTGACCAGCATATCAACTGCTCGGTTGCATTAAATGTCAGAAATACAAGGCAATCGGCGAAGATTAGTTGCAGTCATTATTAAGCTAGTCGAAAAAGCTGTGATTTCAACAGAAATAGGAAACTGACCGTTGGCATGTCAGAAAATTCATCAAAAATGCTGTTATACGGGTCTTCATCCGGATAGTTACCCCTATTCATCTCTTCATTATAGAAAATTGCGGAAACCATTCCATCTTGATTACTGAATGGATTAGACCGTGTATTCACAAAGGTATTCATCTGTGAGGCTGTCTCAATTCTTGTCTGTAATCCCGTCTGTGTGCCGAGGTGCGCATACATTTGTGCGCTATTCACGTAAGAACGGTTCATCTCTTGTGTGGGACTAAATAAAAAATTTCATATAGTTTGGACGAAAAATATTCGGTTTTGATCAACTCCCGAAAGATATGACATATACTCAATTTTTCGGAAAGACTTAGAAGTGCTTGAATGAAGATCTGCTTGGTACAAAAACAGGCGGTGACTGGCAGAAATAACAAAACACTGTTCTCTTTTCTCCTAATCAGGTCTGATAACAAATTATGTATATCGGAGTGATAAAAAGTCTGATGACTCCTGACTGCGTTGTGAGATATATATGAACGGAAACTGTGCTTCAATTCTACCCACATGATCTGTTGAGGGTCATATCCAGCAACATTTAGTCCCACCAGAGTCTCACGCCGAACCGCCGAAACGCGAATCATTTCAGGTGCCTAAAAAATGGACATCATCTGTAGTCGGAAGTTGAAGCAGTGAATTCAAACAAACTTCTTGCTTCACATAACATCCTGTACCCGTGCACTCGCGGACAGATGGCAACACGTTGTTCGGACGGAATAGCGAGTAAGCAAGCTCCTCGGGATTCTCGAAATAAAAACGCTGAACATAAAAGTACACATTGCTTAATGATGTTGAAATGATGTTTTCATTAATACACTGGTAATGATCGCACAAAAAGCAAAGGTACAGCTGTTTTAATACGCGCAAACTGTTACTCTCTCAACCAGAACATGAATTCTAAAGGATATTTACTTCCATGTATTTTACCTCCATACTGGCCGAATAATTTCCATCCTTAACGTAACAGTTTTCACACTCTCTCATTTCAGCACCAACACACTCCTGGGAAATTTTCAAGGCATTTGGTCTATTTAATTCGTTGTTTGACGTGCAGCATAGTTTAGCCAACATAACTTTATAAGCTAAAGCACGGGTAACCTCTGTTACCTTGGTTAGTACCTGAGAAGCATCGTACATCGGTTGCAATGTGTGAGGGGCGAATTGAGGTCCTGTCCAACGTGGGACGGCTGACTGTAAGACTAAACTCAAAAAACAAAGTTCAGTAGCACTCAACTCAAATGCAAAACGTTGCACTTGGGTTTTGAAATAGTTGTGTTAAAGCAGTGAGATGACGTCAATATTGTCACCTGCGTGAAAGGCGTGGAAAGATTCTGAGATGGCCGAACTGCGACCGGCTCAACAAACGATCTCAGGTAATACGGGAGAAGGTGTGTGACATCAATTCTGTCTGAAATTTACCTTAGTAAATCTTTGGTAGGAATGATTAACATTGTCTGAAGAATTTATTTTCCTAGACCGCCTACTGCAGTGGTATGATAACCACTTGACTTTAAAACCCAACAGTGTAGAGTGGTGTGCAAAAACAGTTGCGTCAGCTGGGATTCGAACCCAGATTTCACCCTATCCGAGGGCAATGCCGATAATGACTGTCCTTGCCAGGCCGTAGACGATTGGTTCTTGACAGATAACGTGTTTTAGTGTGGAAAAAGTGGTGTCAAAAGGGGCGTCAGTATTGCAACGGTTCAGCACGGGCCCTCTGATAGGGTGAAATCTGGGTTCGAATCCTAGCTGACGCAAATGTTTTTGCACTTCACTCTACACTTCTGGGTTTATTGTCTGAAGACTAAAGCAGCGCATCTTTGATATTCAGTAAGCACGGTGATAGCTGACTATGTTGTTATTATGAGCAAAAATTCTGCATGAAATTCTGCTAACTTCTCACTAAATTTCATTAAAGTTTTGGTACGAAATTCTTACAATTTAAGATCGCATCAATTAATGACGGCACTGTTCCATGTAGAAATTGGAGAAAATGTGGACTGTCAATAATATTGACAAAGCGCTTGATCAATGCAGCGAAATGATGAATTTGTATCTTGGAATTGACCATAAACTAAAAATAATCACTTTAGTGTGTTTTTACTTAGCAGCAACTTTAGAGGAAGTTGACAGAAAATCAACTCATCGCAAGATTGCCAGGTCAAACACTGGAAAATTTCCAAATTTCTCATGAAAAGTAGATTGTGTCTGATTACCACAAGTTACTTGACACCAATTGATATTCATTTCCTATTATATACGAGGATCAATCACAGTGTACGCTAACACGCCAGTGACCTTCCTGTTTCATGTGAGGAGTTCATTTATGTGAATAATCCAGTAGTAGGCTCAGGGTTGGTTTTGTAAACCGAACTGCTACCATATCTGCGAAATAATAACTGATTAATAAATTTCTGGTGTGTTAACCGTCCACACTGTGGGGAAGGTGGAGTCGCCGAAAGGTTGTCGATGATGTTTGGAAAGACACGTCATCTTTTCACAAGCCTCGCAGAGGATAGCTAGTAAGCTAGATTTGATTGATTAAGCCGATGCTTAGTGAAAGTCAGCCTTTCGAGTTGTTACGATATATTCTAGCGAGATATTTCTACGGTGTGAAAGACATATTATTATTACTATTAAGAGTTAACATTGTATACATTCGGCAAAAAGACCTGGAGGACATTCTTAGTCGCATTAGTTATACTCAGAAATGATGATAAAAAGAAATTGGGACCGGCTCAATTCCTCAATAGCCGTGCTGACAACAGGGCAGCGAGGAATCTAAATGGTTACAAAAACAGTCCTGAACCACAAGATGTATACATGCCAAAGCTTCCGCATGAAATATAGTAGTTTTTTTTGTATCTGTAATGAGCCGAAGTTTTAGTGGGCACTCTTGAAGTATGTCGGTATATATCGTATCTCATCTCACCTCTCTATCTCAGATACTAGTACTCTTTTGTAAATGCGTTTTGTATTTAGAAAAGTTATCTCACGTATATCAACATTCTTATCCTTTCACTTCTGCTTCTTTCGATTGGTGTATTGTTCATCACATCGATGGCATCAGTCTTTCGCAATAAAGTCGTGAAAAAGTGCATAAGGAGTTGAACACGCTTCTGTGCTGTTATGTATGACATTCTTTCCATTAGTCCACTCAGCATGTCGTATTGCTGGTCACAGATATAAGGCCACGACTTGAAGTCCGGCTGCAGTACTGAAATAAAGGAGCTACACTCATTGAGTCGTCGCAATCAGTAAACACGATTTGGAGTTTACCTAGTGATGCAATTACTGAAATTTTCGTCCCAAGTTCCGCTTCAAGAAGGTTTTGCAGCTGAGCATGACGCATCCTTACCTCGTGTGGCCAGTGATATTCAGACATTGCTGGAAATGTAGAGTAGTTAAGGGCACAGAATACATAGGTAGCATATCAAACAGTCACGATGCTAGGACAGAAAAAAGTGAGTGTAGAACAATGATGAATGAAAGGAGTGAATAAAGTTACAGACGCAAACGACAGCTCGTGAGGTGGTGTGATTGAAATGAGGTAAGATTTATAGAGAATAAGTCTTATCGAAACTAACATATCTTATAGTCTTATCAAAACTAACATGTTGGATCACATTAATTTCGTTCCGGAAGTGTAGAAACACAATAGGACTGAGGACATATCTTTTCATTTTCCGTTCCTAACCGGCATGGCACGTTGTAAGAGATCTCACTCCGGTTACTTGTTCTATCAAGTGTTTACATGGGCTGTTTTAAGATGTCTAATTTTGTCGAAATTTGACTTGTTATACTCCAAGCTTTGATTAAGTTTGTAAAGAGCTGTTATCAATGATCTAAGGATTATGTTATTTTCAATGTAACACTGTATTTTGTCGTTTATTTACACGACTTCTATTTCAAGTCCACTTTTATGGATTCCTCCGGTTCTTACAAACCAAATCTCCTTATCAAAGCGATTATTAACGAGTGTGTTTGAAGTTTTATATGCGTATAGCTTCCGCATATGCGGCTCACGATAATTTGTGAGGAAAAATCGGGTGAAACGGGGGCGTGATCGTGATGGTCAATGCGCTTAGCGTAACGCTTCTTGCCACCCCATTTCAAGCTATCTATAGAAAAAATATGATAACACGCTTTAAGCCTTCTATGACGCCTGGTATGGCACTTATGCATACCAAACAGGCCTGTTTCGTCTCTTCCATTCTCGTCAGAAGTACGGTGCCTTCCGTTTAAAACCAATGTCTTACTTAGGATATACCTCCGCTTACAAAGGAATCGATATCGCATTAATTTAATCCCAGCATTCTATGTGAGAAAATCCCTCGACATACCAGTGACTACAGTCGAGTGATTATAACTGATAGAATGACTACTACTGATGAACCTGGGAAGGCAAAACAGGCCTGTCTAGTACGGTATGAGTGCCATACCAAACCTCATCAAAGGATATAACATGTTTTGAGCTGCTAGGTCTAGTGCTATACAGGTTCCTGTTTCGTCCTATTGATACTCATCAGTAGCACTCTTCCTCGGTTCAGCCAACCCCATAAGATTAAATAATTCTCTAAAAAGGAATCGACGCAGGTAATAAATTAGCCCAAGTCAGATGATGGATTTACCTGATATTGTGGTAAGCCGCGATCGAGCTCGTATCTATAACAATGAATCATGCCTCTTCTATCAACCGCTTTTAATAGACCCACTCAAAATGATATAGACTGATAAGGATATGACATGTTAAGCTTATGAAATGCTTAAAACATTTTATCATATCGTCATATTATCACTGTTTTCGAGCGATGTCTTTATTTGAGTGAGGTCCATACAAACAGTCGAAAGTGAAAATAAAACGGATGTTACAGCCGTAGAAAGCCTAAGGATGAATATCACTCAAGAATGTTATGAATAATACCATCTACGATTTTCATTTTCACATCAGATATGGATTTTTCTCGAGACTCAAGAAAAAAAGTCAAAATTCTTCAGAGAAGCTCATACCTTCTTCAAGGTCTTTGCTGGAAATTTTTACGCGAAAATTGAACCTAGGAGAACGGTCTGAAGAGCCTTATATTGGGACCCACGGACTAGAGCGGAATGCACAGGGTGAGAGGCTATCTGAGTTTATTATGACGACCCAAACCATTCATGGTTACTAACAATTCCAAAAACCTCTTTCTCAACGGTGGGAGTGGGAATCTCTCAATGGAGGGTACCATAACAAAATAGACCGTATCATAGTAAATTGAAGGCTTTGCCATACCGCTGTCGCTGTTGTTTGTAAGTTTCTACACGGGATCAGATCCATCGCCTCCTTCGCGCAACGTTCCGTTTTTCGCGGAGAGGAGAGAAAGCCGCTAAATACAAACAACGAAGCCCATAACTACTATAAACTGGGATGTATTCAAATCATAGTCGGCTATTGGGAAGATACCGTTATCGACATTATCGACGAAGAATTCGACCGGCTCGTAGAATATTTTCTCGTTAGCGCTATGAAAGCCGAGAGTTCTAAAGCCACAAAGAGACGCTTGTCTCCCAGACGACTCAAGCTGATACGTCAACGTGGAATCTTACGAGCCACAGGCAACCGAACCCTCATGCCCGAACTTGCGAAACGCTGTAAGGAAGCGATTAAATGAAGACCATAAAGAAAGACGAGCAGCAGTTATGGCAGAAGGTGCAGAAGCTAAGAAGAGCATTCACAAAGCTCAGCGAGGCTTCGCCAATTATAAGACCAAGATGATTGCAGTCCGATGCCCTGGCGTGGACACTTATAGCTTCCAGAAGGGCAATGGAGAAAATCATCCACCTATACTACTCGGATCTCTTTGCTAGCCATGTCCCCTTACCGTCATATAATTTGGAAGAGGATGAATCTTTCGTTCCACCGGCCCTTTCTTCCGAAATCCGACATGTTATATCGTCGTTGAAAAACAGAACAGCGCACCCAGTTCAGACAGGATTAGACCAGAACATATAAGAAACCTACCGCCAGTTCTCATCAACACCTTGGCTCGGCTCTTCACTCGCTACCTGTCAGAATACAAGGTTTCCATTCAGTGAAATGCCAGCAAGACCGCGTTGTTGATCAAAAAGGGAGACCTTCGCGAGATAGGCAGTTATCGCCCAGTCTGCTTGCTGTTCGTTTACTATAAATTTTCACCCGAGTCATGCTAAACAGTATTGAAGAACACTAGACGAAGGACAGCCATGTGAACAAGCCGGGTTCCGACAAGGATTCAGTACCACAGACCACATCCACACGATAACGAGACTCATTTAAGTTTCACGAGAGTACAAAATACCGCTCTGTCTCACTTTTAGCGATTTGAAGAAAGCTTTGATTCTGTGGAAACAGAAGCGGTTATGGAGGCCCTGGATAACCATGGCGTCCCTACTCCAGTACATAATGATCCTTCGTGAGCTATATATAGATTGGTTAACCAAAATATCTTTATTCTACAACGATATCACCATTGACCTAAGAAGAGGGGCTCGACAAGGCGACAAAATTTCGTCAAAATTGTTCACTGCTACCCTGCAAAACGTCATGCGCGCATTAAAATGGGACGATATGGGAGTGAAAATTGACGGTCGACAATCAAACTATCTTCGCTTCGCTAATGATATCGTCCTCATAACACCAAGCATCAGCCAAGCGGAGCTAATGTTGACCGATTTCGACAACGCCTGTGAAAAGATTGGTCATCAACTGAATCTAATGAAAACGATGTTCATGAGGAAT